AGGTGACAATCTCCAATAGGCTTGTGTCTTCACCCTGCTGCATTGTGACCAGCACCTACGGCTGGACAGCCAATATGGAGCGGATCATGAAAGCCCAGGCACTTCGGGACAACTCCACCATGGGCTACATGATGGCCAAAAAGCACCTGGAGATAAACCCTGACCACCCTATTGTGGAGACGCTGCGGCAGAAGGCTGAGGCAGACAAGAATGACAAGGCAGTTAAGGACCTTGTGGTGCTGCTGTTTGAAACCGCCCTGCTCTCTTCTGGCTTTTCCCTTGAGGATCCCCAGACCCACTCCAACCGCATCTACCGCATGATCAAGTTAGGTCTAGGTAAGTAGCTTTGGTATTTGGTGTGGTAAGGTGTTTGTGCAACTAGTCTCTTGTATGAATTTGATTTACTGCTATTTGGTGAAGTCTCACATGGCTTTTTTTCTTCAGGTATTGATGAAGATGAAGTGGCAGCAGAGGAACCCAGTGCTGCAGTTCCTGATGAGATCCCTCCTCTTGAGGGTGATGAGGATGCGTCTCGCATGGAAGAAGTAGATTAGGAGTTCATAGTTGGAAAACTGCCCTTGTATAGTGTCCCCATGGCTCCCCCTGCAGCCTTGAGTGCCCCTCTCCCACCTGGCTCCCCCTGCTGATGTCTGGTGTTTTTCTGTCCTGTCCTTCGGTTGAAGGCAGGAAACAAGGGTGTCAAGCCCCCATTCTTTCCCTACTCTGACAGCAGGATTGGATGTTGTGTATTGTGGTTTTTTATTTTGTTTGTTCATTTTGTTCTGAAATTAAAAGTATGCAAAATAAAGAATATGCTGTTTTTATACAGTTCTGCTCTCCCTTGTAAGGTGGATATGTTGTCTTTCCCTAGCTTCTGTCTCCCTTTCCCTACCCCAGCTCTTTCCTTCCTGTTTTCATGAGCACAGCAAGTTGTTGAGTTGGTTTTGTAGTTAGGGCTCATTGGTATTGTGTGTCTTAACACACACTGAAGCTAAAGGCAGTTTGGGTAAACTACCATGTAATAAGGCCCTTTCAGTCAACCAAAACACAGGACCAAGTCCACTGCAGTAATTTAATTTAATAAAATAAAATTAAGAGCAAAAAGTTACATTTCTAAAGTACCAAAACCTGCAACAGGCTCATGGAGCAGAGCCTAGGGATCCAGGAGCTTAGGGGGAGGTGGTGCTGGGCAGGGCTCTGCATCCCCTTTCCTCAGCACAGCACCATCTTCACTTCACCCTCCTGGGAAAGCAGCATTGGAGCCTACACCACTTTGTGCTTTTCTCACCAGGGTAAGAAATGGATGTCTATAGATGGGGGCGGTGGGGGGAGTCTAGAAGGTGGCAGAGCCACAGCTAGGGCAAGACTTAACCAGAACTTAGAGAACTGTAGAAGCTCCCTATGCCCTCTTAATCCCTCACTGAGGACTGTCTCTACCCTGGAGCTCAGAATAAACTGCTTGTTGGAAGATGGGTGACTTAAGGCAAAAGGGAAGGCTGCCTCCTGGGCTCCCCACCCTCTGCTGCAGAGCTGGTCTGTGATACTGAGAAAACACCTGCGTTTTGCCCTTGAGCCAGCTCCTCAGAGGTGATGAAGAGGGAAATGGGGATGGTGGAAGGGTCCTATTTTACTTCGCCCCTCAGGCCCTCTCCACCCTCAAACCTTCTGCACAGGGGACTCAACAGGCACAGCCTTCTTTCCCCGTTGCTTTAGGCGGCCCCGTGCATAGACTCGGAGCAGGAGGGCAGCAAACACCACAGCCACCCCCAGCCCTCCCACCACAGTGACAGTGTGGCCATAGAGAAGGCAGGAAAGAAGGATGGCAAAGGCCTGGCGGAGGGTCATGATGATGGTGAAGACAGCAGCCCCAAACTGCCCAATGGTGTAAAAGATGAACAGCTGGCCACATGCGGAGCAGATGGAGAGTAGCAAGGCATGGGCAGCAAACTCACTGTGTCGCCCCATGAAGCGGGTCCCCTCCAGCAGGGCCCCCTGTTCTAGCAGTGAGCCTACTGTGAAGAGGCAGGAGAAGAAATTGACCCCAAACATCATCTGCACCGATGACATCTTATAGGCAAACAGGGCATCCTGCCAGTTTGAGGTGAAGCTGTCAAAAGCAATATAGCCTGCCAGTAAGACAAGGCCTGAGAGTGTGGTGGCTGGGGAGCTGCGGGGCTCTGGTCCGCTGGATAGCAGAAACATGCTGACCCCAATGGAGATGAGGGTGGCTGTCAGGTATTCCCAGTGTTCGTAGCTGCGGCGAGACACAAGCTTTCCCATCAGCATGACAGGGATCACCTTAGAAGCCTTGGCCAGCACCTGGGTGGGGAAGCTGACGAACTTGAGAGCTTCGTATTGGCACCAGCTGCTAAGCACATTGGACAGGCTGGCAAAGGAGTACCGGTACATGGGTGCCCCATGCCGGGGCTGCTTGCAGAGGATGCAGGAGAGGCCAGCCACAATCAGTGCCAGCACTCGGTTCATTAGCACCAGGAACTGTGAGTCCGTAAAGCGCTCACCCGGTGATGTGGCTGTGGCCCCATAACTGCGGGTCATCACTCTTTCCTGCAGCACACCCCAAGTCAGATAAGACACCTGGTGGGTGAAGGTAGAGGCAGGGGAGACAATAAGCAAGAGAATGAAAAGGTAGACAAAAATAGACCTCTCCCTCTTCTTCAGGATGATGCCCAGTGATTCAAAGGAAAATACACACTTTCGGGTTCCTCTGTAGGAGTTTCTTCTCCCCTCCTAAGACTGGATTCACCTTGCAGGGAATCAACTGTGCGAAAAACCAATTCAGGGAGGCAAGAACTCTCAGGGAGAACTGGATACCTGTAGTTCAACATGATATTCAAGGTGGAACCAGTACTCACTGCAAAATGCCACAGGTCAGCATCTTAGCACCCTCTCACATGCACTACTGGGGGACGGCTGAAGGGCTCCCCAGCAATTTTATCAGTGAGTTCACAGTATGTGCAACAGCAGTACAGAAAGTATAACAGCACGGTAGAAATCACAGAAGAGGGCAAGAGGAGGTCTCTCTTCTGCACTAGACATCTTGAAATAACAGCATGAACTTTCAGTACCAGTGCTGGAGAGGGGGAAAGGAGGAAAGAAAAGAGCATTTCCCCCAAACACCTCCAAGACGGAGGTGCAGCGTGCCCCTGGGAGGAGGACACGAAACACACCAACCAGCAAAGCTCTGGGACTGGTAAGATGGAAACCTTCACAGAATCCCTGCCCACCGGGATCCAACCCAGGAAGAGAGGCTGAGCCCACCTACCCACCTGGAGCCCTGTGGCACAGAAGAGCAGCTTCAGGGCCTGCCACATCGGGGTGGTCTCTGCCGCCTCTGTTCGGGGCGCCAAGGGAACCTCATCAGAGGCCTTGGGCTCATTGCCAAACACACAAGCTTTCACCAGGGGGAAGCAGAGGCCCCTACCTGAAGAAAGCACACAAAGTCAAGCCCCAGATCTCCGTAGCACTACTTCTTCCCCAGAGCAGCCAGCCTGCTCTGTTGTCCCGCCTACAGGCCGGGCTCCCTCTCTCCCTCTCCAAGTCCTATCCCGTTTGGACTGCTGGCCAACATCCTCCGTCCCGACTTGGGTCACTTCCCCGCCCTTTCTACACACACCTGTCTCCAGGTAATTCTTCCGCCTGAAGTACTGCACCAGGAGGTAGCCAGGTACCATAAAGCTGGCATAGCCAGCAGCATTCACCAAAAATCGGAAGAACCAGAGCTGGGTCCATGACTCCGGAGGGGCTTCGGGAGTCTCCCCACCTGCCCCTAAGGAGGGGAACGCAGCAAGCACCACCACTGCACACCACCTGTAGGGAAGGCGGACGTAAGGATTAGGGTGCAGTTCCTCATCCCCTCCGCCCTCCAAGGGGACCACAGTGGAGTAGGGCCCGCAGTCTCTTCCCCGCCCCCTCCGCTGCAGCCTGGCTGGGACAAAGAGCCTCTCTTTCTCTCGGGGGGGCGGGGGGGTGGGGGCGTGGGGGCCGGCACTGGCCAGGCAAGGCTTCCTCCCTCCCCGGGGGCGGATCCGCCCCTCCGGCCACACAGGTCTCCTCTGTTCCCTCCAGCGTTAGCCCGCTGCTCAGGCCAGAGGCGGCACCCCTTCCCCCACCCTGCTTTCCACATTCCCGGGGCGTCAGGGTCCCCAGCCCCTCCGCCCGACACTCCCGAAGCTTCCCAAGAAGCACAAAACCAAGCCGCACCCCTATCCCCACTAGCTCTGGGCAGAGCTATGCCGGCCTACAGCCGGGTCGCCAGGACCCCACCCGGCGCCCAGTGCTGAGGTGCGGCAGTCACGTGGACCGGGGGCTCGGTCACGTGAGCTCGCCGCTGCCCTAGCCCCCCACCTGGCGTCCATGGTCCAGGCCGCGTAGGGTGGAGGGGGGCCGGGGAATGCGAGTCCCCGGGCCGCGCGCCCCCTGCGCTCCCTCCGCTCCCGCCGCCGCCTCCGGGAGCGGCCAGCAAGCCAGCGGCCAGCGGAAGTGCCGCGCTCTTCCCGCCTCCCTCCCCGCGGCCCCCTCCGCCCCTGCCGCGACCACGCAGCGCCCCGGGCCGCCGCTGGGCCACAGCGCCCCCGCGCGGCCCGGAGGCAGATGCGGCTCGGGTTCGGGGAGCTGGGCTGCCCCTGGGCGCGGGGAGCCCCAGTCCTGGAGAGGCGCCAGCTTGGCGCGTCCCCTGTGCTTCGTCATCGCCCTCGGCCTTCATAAGCGTCCCAGAGGTCATGGTGACCATTGCCATCTTGTGGACCGGACATTGAGACTCTGCATCCCAAGCCACTCTCTGTTACAGTTTTCCCGTTTTCTGAAAGGATGAAGGTGTCTCCTTCCTTTTTTGGCTGGGCAGTAATCCTGTCCCCCGACTTCTCATGACCTCTACATGGCCTTGCCCGTGTTCCTCGCCCACTCACCCACCCGCTGTGGAGCCCCGCTGGCCTGCTCTCAGTTCTTCTAATTTACTCAAGGCTTTCCCCCAAATGCTCTGCCCTCATCCCTTTACTCATCCTTACATCCCAGTTGAGATGATACGCCTCAGGCGGGGGTTCCCGGGCCACCCAAAGCATGACCCTCTCCCGACTCCATCCTTTTCCTTCCCATTATTCTTTCCCTTCACAGCACCTACTGCAACTTGTAAGGACATCTTTATTTGGATGTTTACACTTTTAACAGCTGTCTCTCTCGCTGGCTGAGAAGCTCCAAGTGGCCAGTGACTGTGCTGGTTTATTCCCCACACTCTTCATGCCAGCATAGGACCAACCTAACTGGGCCCTGGAAGGCGAGGAATGGGAGGAAAAATGTGAAGTCACAGCTCCCTTGTGCCCAGCCACCCTGGGCTACCCTCGTCCCCAGGCTCCTCCAGATGGCAGTGCCCAGGGCAGTGGGGAGGGTTCCAGGGCCTGTGTCTTCCCATTCTTCGTCCTCTCCCTTCATCCCTTATCATTTCCACAGCAAGGACAAGGGTCTATGCTGGACACAGAGAAAGGCCTGGGGACTACTGGCCTCTGACCCCACCCAGCAAGGCCCTACCGTGCTCAGGGGACAATTTCATTCTCTCTGCCTCCACCACAAAGTCATAGGGCAGGCCTGTCTAAAAAGCCCCAATGCACACAGACATGCATGCGCACAAAACAGCTCTAGAAGGGAAAAACTTTTTTAACGTCTCTGCCATTTTAGTGTCATGTTACTGAAACTGCCCTTCCCCAGTCGCTCAGTTCAGAGCCTTCTCTGTGAAGTCTTTAAACAAGTGTTTCAGGGTCCTCAACAGCAGTAAGATAGGACCCCTCTCAGAGTTCAGCTTGTTCCTATTTCCGTCTCTTCTCACTCAGGAGTGTCCATCATGTTTCCTACTGATTGACAGTTTCAGGCTGACCCAACATGGGTAGAAACAAGAGCACCTGCCATTTTCAAGAGAGGCAAACAGGCTTCACCCAGGATACCTGGGGCTTTGGGGGTCTTCCAAGAATCCCTGTCCATCTGGAGAGCTCCTCCTTCCAGACTGGCTCTCTCTCACTTGCAGTCCCTCCTTCTCAGCTCAGGACTCTGTTGGCTGGCCCCAGGCTCTGGCCATAGCAGTCCCTAGGGCACCAGAAGAGCACACAGCCTGGGCCCAAACTGCAGCAGTGATGACTCCAGCTTCCAGATAGAAAGAGGTTGAGCCCCGAGGATCCCAGACCCTGCCTGGCTTCAGTCGGTACATAGCAGCAGTTTCCCTGAGATCTTCAGGTCATCAAAAGGCAAAAGGACAAGGGACTGAGAAGGAGAATGGAGAGAAGCAAGATCAGAGGACATGAGAAAAGGTGACTTGGGAAAGGGGACCCAGGGAAACCTGTTGGGCCACTCCCTCCCCACCAAATGACAGTTGAAGACCATCAGGGAAGAAATCTTCATACGAATCCTCAAAGTAGTGGCCTCTCTGGGCTGGGCAGAGCCCTGAGGACATAGGTGAGCCTTCCTTTTCTAAGATAATGCCAGGATATCCGAGTTAGGAGGGACCTTAGAGATGATCCTGCCCATGGACCTGGGTTTTTTGTTGTTGTGGGGGTGGGGGAGGCTGGGTACTCGCAGAAAATTTTGGGTTTCTTTTTCACATTGAACATTTAAAAATAGGAAAGATTATACAGAAAATCTGGATTTCACCTCTCAAAAAATTCCAAGACCAGGAAAAACTGGGCTTACACTCCTGCTCTGTAAGCCTTTGCTGAAGCTGAGTACAGAGACCATCAGGGATGGCTCTCTGAGTTCCTACAGGCCTCACCGCACCATGGTCTCATACCTGGCCAGCTTCACTGATTCACGTTAACTGCAGGGTCCCTGTAGGAGTCCAAATTTGGCTCCCTGGTCCTGACCAACTAAGGAAACAGGCTCAAGTTCCCACAGTTGGCCAGTGGCACAGTCCTGGTTATACCCCAGGACTCCGAGCTCTGTGGCCCTTTCAGCTAATGACAACACCTTTCTCTGCCATGGGTGTGCGAGGAGGCCCTGGAGAGCAAAGCATATGCCTCTTACTTCCTCGGTCAGGTCCTGGGGTGTCTCATCCTCCACGTTCCGCAGCAGGGAGTCAGCACCCGCCTTGCACAGAGTGGATGAGATGCCCATGAGGCCCCGCCCAGCTGCCAGGTGCAGGGGTGTGCACCCATTCAGCATGCGGGCATCTACCTGGGCACCAGCCTGGAGCAGGAACTGTACCAGGCCCCGCTCTTGGGTTTCCACAGCCAGGTGCAGCGCTGTCTTCCCACTGGTGCCCTCCTGGGAAGGAATAAGGATATCAGCCAAGGCCCTCAGAGGCCGTGTGCTGGGCCCGGGCTCTGGATAAGGAGGTAAATGCTACCACTTCTGACTGCTGGTCAGGGGACCTGGGGCTGGGTCAGGTGGGGGGCAGGCCCTGCGCCAGGCAGTGTGCTGATGGCTGCCTCACCTGCACATCAATGTCAGCTCCATTTTGAAGCAGCAGTTCCATGAGTGGTTGGTTCTTCTGCAGGGTGGCGATGTGGAGACAAGCCAGACCTGGGATGGGGTGAGGGTGAGGGCTGCTGATCTGCACCCACCAACTCCCTCTCTTCCGGGACCTCCCAGCCATTCAGCCCCATGGGACTCACTGCCCACTCAATGTCTTTAATCACAAGACTGTTAAAATGCAAACCCCAAAACCCCCTCAAAAATTTAAGGGGAAAGGAACTCAAAGTTTCCACTTTTTCAGAGTCATGTTATTGAAACTTTCATGCTTCAGGAGTCAGGTTGCTGAGTGACATGTCAAAAAACACCCTCCTCCTATACGCAAAACACACACACACACACACACACACACAAAACCTGCCTTCAAGCCCAGTCTGAAAGCCACCTTTTCTGAAAAGCCATCTAAGATCCTCAGGCTCCCAGCCCTTTCTTAGGGGCCACTTCCTTCTGTGTGTTCCCCTGGCCTTTTTGCTGTTTCCTTTCTGGTCTGGACACCTGGACACTTCCTGACCCTTGCTCACTAATAGAGATTTCGATTCAAATTTACATTCTTCACCTCCTTCAAGTCCCTATTCAGATGTCCCTAGCTCCATGAGGCCTTCCCTGACCACCCTATTGAACAATCACATCAACTCCGCTGTTCCCCACATTCCTTCCCGCCACTGCTCTACTTTTCACTACAGCACTTACTTCCTTTTAGCTTATTACATAGCTCACTTCTTGTATTTATTGCGCGTCTCAATTTTTCTCTGTTATGCACACAGATGCAAACATAGTTCCTAGGATAATATCTGGCACACAGAAAACTCTTGGTACATTTCTGTTGAATGAATGAATCAGGTCATCTGATCTCTGTTAAACTAAGTATCTTAAAAGCAATATTTAGTTTTCTGCTCAGCACACAGTAGGTACTGGGTAAATTCTAACTCAAATCATCCATTTATTCATTTAGCAAAGATGTACTGAATCTCTATGTGCTTACAGTAGGAGGGGCACCAATGGACAAGCTGGGACCCTCCCTTCCCGAAGAGTGGGATCCCTATCTCCTAGGCCCTCCTCCTCCCACAGGCCCTAAGACTGTCCACACCTTGCCAGTTTTGCAGCTGGAGGTCCAGAGAGTGAGATGGTCCTCTGCCTGGCTCTGGCCGCCCCTCCAGCAGGCAGCGGGCACAGGCCAGGTGCTGGCGCTGGCAGGCCACATGCAGGGCTGTGTCACCATGCCGGTCCTGTAGTGCCCGGCTGGCCCCCTTCAGCACCAGTGCCCGAACTGCACCCGGTTGGTCCAGATGTACAGCCAGATGGAGTGCTGTCTGGAGGCACAAATAGAGGGTCATGGGGCCACTGCAGCATGCTCCCACCTCTGGGAACAAGCTTGGGCTCCAGAAGCACCAGCTGCCAGCATCTTTGAAAGCCGCTTATAAAAGTCATAGCCTGGGCTTCCAAGGAAATACCACCAAGCCCTTCTCCTGTCAGCCCCGAGTCCCACCAATCTCTTGGGACCCCAATTCTGGAAGCAAGGTGAAGAAAGTAGCTCTCTGCTTTTCTTGTAAGTCACCGTAGGCCCTGGAGAAAGGACATGCAGGGACAGAGTCTAGCCTCTCATCCTGTGGGGAGACTTCTATTACCCCTAGGCGTTAGGCTGCAGGGGTTATGTTGGAGGAAACACAGAGGCACCAGGCAGTCTTTCCCTGGCAAACCTCTCTGCTAAGGCTCCATTCAGACGTCACCTCCTCTGTAAGCCTTCCCTGGCTGCTGCACACAGACGCTAGACCCCATAGCAGCTGGTATGTGTCTCTATCACAACTCTTGTCACCAGGCTGTGTATTTAGCTGTTGACATGAATCCCCCAGCCCAGGCTGCAAGCACTTTAGGGAGAGGCCGTATCTTACTTGTGTTTGTCTCTTCAGCTTCTAGCTCAGTGTCTGGCATATGGTTTCCTGAGTGAGTAGCCTATGGATTAGTGTAGCTGCTGGGGATGGCTGTCAGGGCACAAACAGGTATCTGGGCACAACCCATTCTCGTCACCAACCTGGTAAAGGTTGTTTTGAATGTCCAGGACCTCCTGGGGCAGCAAAGCCAGGCAACAGAGCAGCACCGCTGGGGCCTCGTGAATCACTGCCAGGTGGACCAGCCTAGGGGAGCAGAGGCAGGGCTTGGAGTTAGGGCCCAGGCCACAGGGAGGGGTTGGGGTCTTGGGGTTAGAAGGAACACATCAACTTTTAACTAGCTACCGATAGGGTAGGTCCAGGAAGTGAGAATGTGGGCGAGGAAGTGAGGGTTGGTGTGGGAAGCCAGGATCCTAGAGGTTGGAGCTCCAAGTTCCCACTGATGGCCTTCAGGACGGCCGCGGCTGGGTGGGCATGTGGGCAGGGTGCTGACAAGACAAGGGCCTTCCTGTCTACCCTGCCCACACCCACTCTTCTCTGCCCTCAGGGCTCTGCTGGGCCAGCTGCAGCTCAAAGCCAAATTGAAAGCTGCCGAAGTAGTCCAGAGGGGGTTTCCAGGGCTGAGCACCCCAGCATGGAGGAAAGAAGGAGGCAGATGCAGGGTCACCCCGTACCCCCAAGCAACTCAATGTTACACATTCCAAGGGAGAGACACAGACACTCTTGGAAGAGGAGCAAGGAGACAGAGCAGCATCCTGTCCTGCTGCCCTTCCCGGGGAGTCAAGAGCGCTTCTCAGATAGCACAGACCAGGTCAGGCCTACCAGGGGCCTTCCATTCCTGTGTGCACCTCCAAGAGGAAGTCTTTGCAGTGCAGAAAATGTGTTTGTTGAGGGGACCACGAACCTTAATCTAGGGGTAATGGGGTTAGTTGGGAGGGGAAGTTCCAGTCTTGGGGTTTCCCCACGTCAGGTGGGGAAAATGAAAGCCAGTGCTGAAGGGTCTAGGTCGGGACAGCTGCCTTGGGGCATCAGTGAGGACAGTAGCTTGGCTAAAAGGCCCATCTGGGCTGGGAGGGGGCTGCTTGGGCAGGAGGGTGGCAAGCTTTGGCGGCAGGCAGCAGGAGAGGCCCAGGAGAGTGACGGAGGGAGGGAGGAACTGCTCTGGAAATCCCCTCGGTCAGGGCCTGCTCTCTGGGTCACATTCTTGCAGCCACCTCCCTCTCTCCCCCAGTATCCCCTCCTCCCACTTCCTCTTCCCACTTCCATACCTTCCACAGCCCAGACACCTCCAATGGAGAAAAATGCCCCCTCCTCTCTGGGGACTACCTGGGGAGCCTGCACGCTTCTCCCGTCCCCACACACACCCCGTCTGGATACAATACCTGCTTCTAACTAGAGATGGAAAAGGCTGGGGCTGAGAGACTAAAGATGGCAGTGTCAAAAGTCCCCTCTCCTTGGATCAAACGTCATCAGAGGTATCTTGCATGCAGCCCCCGAAACCTTGGGGTTCTGGACCTGAGGGCTGGTGATCCAGGCAGAGTACGAAAAGGACCGGGTCACTCCTCTCCTACCCACTGGGCCCACCAGCTATCTTTATCAATGATCACCCAGGACTAGGCCCCTGCACCTCCAAAAAGCAGGTTAGAACAGCCACCTCCTGCCTCCCCTACTCCTATGTATTTGAGCACCCTTGATCAAGAATTCCAGCCCCCTCACCAACTCTATTTATTCATCCCCAGATCCCAACCTTCCCCTCCTCTGTCAATGCTTTCTTCTTGGGGGGGCGTGCTAAATCCTCAGCTGGCCAACCCATCCCATACAACTGCCTTTTACTTCAACTGTCCTCTGGCCCACTCCCAACAAACTCCACCTGGGTCTGGAGAAGGAAGGGTTAAATGAGGGAGTAAGGCATGACAGTTAGTGGGATTCGGGGGGCCCTGGAGGTAGAGGATGTCAGGGATGCTGACTCTAGCCCTCACTTCCCCTTTCTTAGCAGAGGAGGAAGTAAGCTGGGGCAGCCAGCCTCCTGTCTGTCTGCTGGGGCAAGAGTGCCCCAGTCTGGCTCACCCCTACTCCTGAGGACCAGCCCCAACCCTACACCCTGGTGGCACCCCCCCATGCCTAGCTTCCTGGCCCCCGAATGGCACCCTGTAACTGACACCTGTTGGTCCTTGAGACAGAGCACTCTGAGGTTAGGAACTGGGAATCCCAGATATTGAGCAAATAAGGATGTCCCCTTCCCCAGCAAGAAGAAACAAAAAAACTGGACTTGGTCAGGGGAATTTTCTCTTCCTAAGAGTGGATTACTGGTAGATTTCCAAGATGCTGGCTGTGGTTCCTGGGTAAGGGTCCTGCCAGCTCTGCCCACCCCAAAATGGGAGGACAGAGATGATGCCAGGTTTTCTGGTCTGGGCCTGCCTGGACCTCAAAAGTGGGCTGAGAGTTAAGTCGGGAGTTTGGAAGAGTGAATGGGGACTTGAAAGATCCTAAGCGGGGAGTGGGGTGCCCGGCCTGTTGCGGTTCTTGGGCAGGCCCAGAGTTAGCATCCCGCTTCAGCCTAGCCCCCATACTCACGTGTCTCCGTCCTCGGAGATGTAAGTGAGCGCTTCCAGCTGCTGCGGGCTCAGCGCCCCCGCGTGGGGGAGTGGCGAGCGTGGGGCCGGGTCCTCAGCCTCGGGGTCCCCCAGCAAGGACAGGGTCTCGGTGAGCGAGGAGGAGCCATAGGTGGAGTCAGCCCGCTCCCCATCCGCGTCTTCCTTCTCCTGAGGTTCCTTGGCGGGCCCTGGAGGATGAGTGCAGGGCTGAGGGCCGCCGTCCGAGGGCCCGGAGGCTGGAGCCGAGGTGGGCTCGGGTAGGGAGCGCAGAGAGCGCAGAGACTCAATGCCAGAGTCGTACTGGCCCTCGTCCGCCTCGTCCGGCTCCTTCCGAGCCTCCGACATGCCCGCGGCGCCTGCCCGCAGGGGCCCAGTCCGAGCAGGATCCGGCTCCGGGCTCCGCCGCGCCGCCTTTCCGGGTTGCGGGTCGGCTTAGCAGAGCGGGCGCCCGGCCCGCGGCGGCCTCCTTCCCGGGCTGTGGGGCTCCGAGGGGCCGGCGCGCAGCGAGGACAAGGTTTGGAGCGCTGGCCGGGTCCACCCAACGGTTACTCTGGGCAGGCGGGCCGCCCAAGCAGGTTCTCCTCCTCGCCCCGCCCCTCGGGACCAAAGAGGTCTCAGATGGCCCCGCCCCGCCCCGCCCCCAGCTGGCGCTTCCGGAAGGAGACCCCGCCCCTCCGGAATCCCCCTTCCTCGCCTCTACGTAGGCTTGGAGTCTGTGGTTCCCGGGCCCTGACTCACTCCTTCGTTGATTCATTCACTCATTCATTCATTCACTTTTTGCCCCTTCCTCTTTCACTCCATTCATTAGTTCCACGCATTTACTCTTTCCTTCTTTCACTTCTATTTCTTCATTCGCTTTATTTTGATTTTTTTGAGACAAAGTCTCGCTCTGTTGCCCAGGCTGGAGTGCAGTGGCGCAGTCTCGGCTCACTGCAACCTCCGCCTCCCGGGTTCAAGCGATTCTCCTGCCTCAGCCTCCTAGTAGCTGGGACTACAAGAAAAGATGAGAGCCCTCACCATGTTGCCCAGGCTGGTCTCAAACTCCTGGGTTCAAGCGATCTGCCTGCCTCGGCCTCCTAAAGTGCTGGGATTACAGGCTGTGAGCCACCAGGCCCAGACCATTAATTTGTTTTAAAGAAATATCTATTAATTGTCTGTATAAGCTGGCGTCTTTGGGGATGGGCATGTGCGTGGTGGGATGGGGAAGCACTTCTCACCTTTCCCTATCAGTGCCCAGGAGTATCGGTAGGGAAAGGGGACTCCCATCATCTTTAAAGGACTGGTTCTCCTGGGTCCTGGAAGACAGTCTCCTGTGTCAACTTCCCACATCACATGGAATTGGGCATGAAAATGTTTTTTTTGGAAAGAGCGTCTTCTCAGGAAGACTGTTGTTGTCTAAAAAGCAAAGTGATTATGGGGTTTCTTCTTCCTCAAAGGGTGAAACCCTGGTCTTGGGTAGTTACAGTTTCTGGTCACCTCCAGCAGTCAAGGAAGTGGGGCCATGTTGGGGAGGCCCCGACATGCTGGGTTGCACTCTGCTCAGGTCCCCACCACTGCCCCAGTCTTAGTCCCAAAACTTCTTTCCTCTTTCCCTGTCCCTGGGCCTGGGGAGGCCATAGGAGAACCCTACCACAAGTTAGCCCTAAAACGGTGTCCCCTGATTTACTCCCTCATTCCTCCCCACTTCTCCAAGTGCTACCAGCCTAGAACCAGCAATGTTCTTAGAGGGTTATCCCCAAGGGAACAGTTAGCTTTTCCATCTCCAGCATTGGGGAAAGGAAACTGGATGAGCATAGACAGCAACGTTCTTCATGGGGGAGGCCAGCTTTCCCACTGCTCTCCCCCTGCAACCTTGTTTTATTCATCCATCATTCATCCATTTGACAAACATGTATGAAACATCTCCTATAATGTCTGACATTGTTCTTTCTACTTGAAGCAAAACTGACTATCACAGTAACGGTAATAACCAATAAACCCCACCCCCACCCCCACCTACCGCCAACAACAAAAAAAATCCCATGTTCCTAAAAAAGGTCCTTGGCAATTACAGCTCAGAGTGGTTGGGATACACAGGAGTGAGAACAGGGTGTTGTGGGGGCACACAGCGGGGCCAATTACTCAGTGGGGTGAGGGACAAGGAAGGTTCCATTTGAACTGAGAATGGGAAGGGAAGAGAGATAGGGAGAAGAGAAGGACTTAGTATTGGGGGGAGGGATGATTGGAGACAGAAGAGTTGGATGAGGGCTGAGGGGAGAAGACGGCCCACTGTTCTACAACCCCATGGAGGGCCAGAGTGGGAAGGATGTGATGAGCATGGAGCCCAGTGAGGAGCCAGGAGAGGAACGCCCAGGGAAGTTGAAGGATCTCCTTCCCTTGGGTTAGCATGATTTAAGATGTTCTCAATTTCCTCCCATGACATGTTCCTCTCCAGTCCTTAAAGACTGCAGCAAAAATGTAGTAATAAACTCCAGACCTAGACCAACTGGGTTCAAAATCTGGCTGGGTGCAGTGGCTCACACCTGTAATCTCAGCACTTTGGGAGGCTGAGGTGGGTGGATCATTTGAGGGCAGGAGTTCAAGACTGGCCTGGCCAACATGGTGAAATCCTGTCTCTAATAAAAATACAAAAATTAGCCAGGGCTGGTGGCACATGCCTGCAATGTCAGCTACTTGGGAGGCTGAGGCAGGAGGATCTTTTGAACCTGGGAGATGGAGGTGGCCATGAGTGAGCTGAGATTGCACCACTGCACTCCAACCTGGACGACAGAGTGAGATTCAGTCTAAAAACAAAAACAAAAACAAAACCCCACACAAAATCTGACACTATCACTCCCATTTTAATGTTTGGAAACTGAGGCCCCAAGAGGTGGGTTAACTTGCTCAAGGTAAAATAGAAAGTGCACCTCTTGGCCTTAGTGCCATTTTTTTTGGAAACCTCTGCACCATGAGAGCCAAGTGGAGGAAGAAACGAATGCGCAGGCTGAAGCGCAAAAGAAGAAAGATGAGGCAGAGATCCAAGTAAACCGCTAGCTTGTTGCACCGTGGAGGCCACAGGGGCAGAAACATGGAATGCCAGACGCTGGGGATGCTGGTACAAGTTGTGGGACTGCATGCCACTGCCTAGAGCTTGTCTCAATGGATCCAGAACTTCATCGCCATCTGATCGCTGATCACCTCTGAGACCCACCTTGCTCATAACCAAAACTGCCCATGTTGGTCCTTTGCCCTGGACCTGTGACATTCTGGACTATTTCTGTGTTTACTTGTGGCCGAGTGTAACAACCATAAAATAAATCACCTCTTCCGCTGTCTTAGCTGAAGAATTAAAAAAAAAAAAATACAAAGTGCAAAGATAGCTTCTGACCTAATTCAAAATTTTATATATTTTTTAGTGAAAGCTTCTTTTCTTTATCAAGGTGTAAACCACATAGGGTGGGAGTGTCTGAGCCCTCTGCAAGGACGTAAGAATTCAGGAGTGTGCAAGGACCTTCTTTTTATTCATACAGAGGCTGAATTTAAGGAAAAACCCACTCAACCCAGCCAGGTGTTTGGCCCTGAGCCATGACAGGTGTGTGGCAGTCCCTTTTATGGCCACATGAGGTCAGCATTGAGTCACCCACTGGCCCCTGGACCAGAGCTTGCACTCTTGACAGGTATCCTTTCCATCACTCCAGGAATGGGGAGAGGGACCATGGCACTGTTCTCTGAAAGGGTGACCTGGGGACTTTGACTTAGGCCGCAGCATGGTTAGGGACCTAACGTCGCCTCCTCAGCTCCAGTCTTCCCTGAGGCTGGGCTCCTCTAGTCTTTCTCTCTGTTGTTTTCTGATTCCCTTTGTACCCCCACTCCCCACCTCCACCCACCCCAGCTAGGCTTATCTTCAGGAAACAGGCCTGGTTTCCATGGTGACCAGCCGGTCAGCTGGCTCCTTCCACCACCCCCTCCTTCACCCCCTGTTTCCTGTAGCTTCCAGGGAAGGGTACTGTGTATGAATGGAGAAGGCAGGGGTAGGCTTTTGTCTCTTGGGAGCTCTAGGGTTGGCCAAAAAGAGCTAAGCTGTCCCTCATCCAAAGCCTCTGAAGTGGAGACAGGAAGGTGGGTGTCAAGAGGAAGATTGTGGTGCCTAAATGGGGAGCATGAGGAATCCTCTGTGGATTTGGAAAGGCCAAGGTTAGGGGCTCTGCTCTCTGTGGGCAGTGAGGACTGAATTGGGTGGAAGGGGCTGAAACTGGAACAAGAGGGGCTGGAGTTTAGCTGTGAGGCCAAATTCCCAAAAAGCATGGGTGGGAGATGCTGGAATGAGCCACCAAGTGATATTCTGCTTCTGCCAAGGGAGTGAACAAGACCCTTCCTTTCCCTTCTTCTGGGCAGGGAGAATGGACCCACCAACCTGGAGAGGGCCATGCAGGTAGCTCTAAGCAACAGGTGGACAGAGAGCCACCTTCACCTCTCCTGGAAAGGGAAGAGTAGTTAAATGAAGGCAGGGCCGGGAGTGGGACTAGAGAGGTGGAAGCAGTGGCTCTCCTGTCCCCAGTAAGGGCAAGGAACATCCTGGGCAGATCAGTGGCCTTGAACACTATCCCCCAAAAGCAGACATCAAGGCTTTGCCTCAAACTAACTTCCTACCCACAAATATTCCCCATTGGCTTTTGAATGGGAAAGATATTAATTCTAGGACTAGCTCTGTGAGTGCTAGCAGGTGACCTTGAGTAAGCCATTCACTCTCCCTCTGCCTTGGTTCCTTGTGAGTAAATGGGGAGAACAGTTACTGTAAGTCAAAGACCCCAATGACACATAGTAGGATTCCACAGTGACTATGCATGCACAAGACTGATCATGCATTGCTTTTATTACATTCTTCCTAATAGTCGGTTTTCATGTTCTTTTCTCCCCATTAGACTTTGTGCTCCTTGAGGGCAGGAAACTATGTTTCATTTCTGTACTGGGCACACAATAGGTACCCAACACCTATTTATTGAATGGAGACATCCAGGAATGAATGAATGAATGGATGGATGTTAGGGTCCTTCCTGCTGTGCCAGTGGATGCAGGGAAAAGCAGTGTGGGGTAGATGGCCTGAAGGGATCAGCTGCCTGCAGTGGCTCAGCCTGGCCTGTGGTCTGTGACTTTGCTTCCTACACCCATAGGTCAGAGCCTTAGAGATTGTCCAGTCAACTTCCTCATTGCACAGATGAAGAAATTAAGGCTCAGAGAGAGGAAGGAACTTGCCCAAGGTCACATAGCTCCTTGATGGCAGAGACAGGATTGAGAATTAGAACACAGGTTTCCTGAGTTCTTCAGCCTAGGGCATTGCACACACTTCACTGCCTCTCTGAAGCTGTTCTTGTAGGGAAGGAAGATGGTTCAGTGAAGGCTGGTTCCAATGTCCTATCCTCTGCCCTCTGTTAGTCCTTTCTCACATCTAGCTTCAATCTCTTCCCTTTCACCGTATTGCATCCCTCTCCAAGCTAGCTTCTGCCTTAACCCTTTACCACGCAACTGGGAGTAAGGATGTTCCCTCTGGTTCCAAGAATCAATTTGTTCTCCCCACTCCTGAGCCCCAGGAACTTGCAGGAACCAGGGATGTGTGTGTGTGGGGGGGTGCTGTTGGTTGAACCTCGAGCGCCCCGTCCACGAAGAATAGATGGAGAGGGGTTGCGGCATAGATTCTCTCAGGATGGGAGCGCGGGAGGGAGGTGCGGTGAGCAGGGTTGGGAGCGGGGACGGGGTGTGGGGAGCCCCTGTTGCTTTACCCCTTCAGGGGG